CGCCCATGATGCTACGCCTCCACACTCCCCAATCGCTCCCATCGTTCCCTCACCAAGGCCTGAACTGAGGTCCGAACGCCTCCCTCTCGGTGACCGACTTGCTCAACGACAGACCCGGCTGCTCCACGAACGACGTCGCGAGCATGGACGACGACCCAGAGTGTCCGACCGTCGTCGTCGTCGAGGAGGAGGACGGATCCCCCGTCTGATGGGGGCCGTAGTGGCCGGCGCCGCCGTCCCAGGGTGCTGACCCCGGCGACCCGGGTTTCAGGAACGCGTAGGTCCCGGCGCTGGTGAGCGGTGGGGATGGGAACGCTGTCGACGAGGCGGAGGGGGAGGATCGCGTGGATGCCGCCGTCGGTGGTTGGTGCTGATGGTGATGGTGATGGTGATGGTGATGGAGATGCGGGTGGGTGAGGAGGGCGGTGGCCGAGGATATGGACGGTGAGGATGCCGAGGAGAGATACGGCGTGTAGGGGGAGGATGAGTTCGGTGGTGTGGATCGTAGCGTCGATAGTTCGAGTTCGGGAGTTCGGGGACGTGTCCGTCTCGGCATCGATCCACCACCACCGTCATCATGGTCGAGTGTAGGGACCGTGGTGGTGGAGGCGTTCGTAGCGCTCACGATCGCGGTGGAGGTGGGAGTAGGAGTGGTGGACCTTCCCAATCCCAACCTCTTCCCGTTCCCGAAATCGTCTTCCGACTGAGCTCGCGAGTCGACCATCCACATCATCGACCCGTTCCCACGTCGAGCGTTCCACCACCCCTTCCAGTCCGCCACGAGTCGCCATCCCAGGACTCCGAGGAGACAGAACCCACCGATCGAGATGACGAACTCGGCTAGAACCCTTCGCCAGAGTTCGGGCAAGGCGATGCGACCCGAGGACGCGAGGGACTGCGCGCATGTGAACACGACTTCGTCTCGAGACGACGTGGGCGACGTTCCAGCCGCGTGGATGCACGCCACGAGATCCTCGAGAGGAGACGTGAGGATGGAGGGTGTCGCAAAGACCGGGACGGTCGACTCTGCGGACCAAGGAGTCGGTACCATGGCCGCCGACACCCTTCCCAGATCGGTGGTGACGAACATGGCGTACGTCACGGCGAGCGCGATGAGGACGATGGCGAAGATGAGGAGTCGCGCCTGTACGGGTCTCACGCCTTCGAGCTGCGTTCCGCCTTTCGCCACCACCACCAAGGGTCGACCCGTGGCCAACGTGTTCATCGTGTTGGTGGTGTAAACACTCCCCGTCTCCCCGTCCCCGCTCCCGTTCCATCCGCTCATGCTCACGTCGTCGCCGCCGCCGCGACGGGAGGTCGTCGTCGGTTGCCAGCTTCCGATGCGTCTTCGAGACTTTCTGGCGACTCGCCAGAGATACACGGTCGTGGCGGTGTGGAGAGAGCAGACGAGAACGGCTGCCGTGATCAGAGGCGTGAAGACGAGAAGACCTTCGTAACCGTCCGACACAGTGCAGATGCCGCGTGACACGTACTCGATCGATTGCTTCCATATCGCGAACGCCGCCAACAGGGATGGAAGGCCCCAGGACACGACGTGAGGGAACCATCGGTGACGTGCCAGCCAGGACGAGTTCCATGCGATTTGCTATGACCAAGAAACAGAACGATGATCAGTGATCAGTCACGATGTTTTCCGAGATGGGGATTGGAGGGGACAAGGCCAGAAAACTCACCAAGTGCATGTGAGCGATGAAAGCGACACACCAGCACGCCGTGGCACAGGCAGCCCAGACGAGCGCCACGCCCTGCACGGCGCAGACAGTGTTCGTCTCAAAGCTGGCGCTCGTGACGCCATCTCCGACACAGAACACGTCCTGCCCCCTCTTCCCGAACCCGTAGCTCATTCCGATGGCCTGCCAGAGGACGACCAACGTCGCCATGAAGAGGATGTAGATGCGAGGAAACTTTCGCTTCCCAGGCAGCACGGCGTAGGACACCACGATGACGAGGGCGGAGAGGATCGACACGCAGCGAACGACGGTCAGGAGGATCTCGAGGTACGGGAGGGGTGCGAGCGGGTAGAGATGGTCCGTCGCGGGACACGGTAGACAGCAGTCGAGTGACGGATGGCATGACGCGAGCGGAGTTCGGACGAATCCAAATGGTATCGGAAGGAGGAAGGGACCACATGCGTCTGACGTCGTCGTGGAGTTGGGAAAGGACGTGGTGCCCTGCGCGGAAGCGAGCAGCGGAGCGATGGATAGTCCGAGAACGAGCAAGGGATGGATCATGGCGTGTCGGACGGTCGAAGGTCCAGGGGGGTATGTCGTTCGAATCTACAGTTGTAAACGGAAGGTGCCGGGTCGCGGTGGAGAGTGATGGTGACGATAATTGTATTCTAAGCCTTTCCGTTGTCCGCTCCAGGTCCCGGTCACCTTCGCTTCGACCGCCGCGGAGGAGCGAACGCGATACGAGCTACTGACCGATCGCCTGCCTACCGGCCTGAGACGACGCGGACGCAGGTGACCAACGGGGGATGTGTCTCGCTCTAGCGCGAGCCGAGCCACAGAGACGAAAGCTTTCGAGGGAGACGAGTAGCGAGCAGAGAGAGAGGTCCGTCGCTTCTCGGTGACTGGATACCGTGAAGGTGGTGGTCGGGAGTCTGAAAACGAAAAGAGAACGGGGGTTTCGAAGCGACGAGGAGCAAACGTTCAGCAGAGACACCGAGAGACGACGGTAGCCATGAGAGCGCTGGGGTTGGTGAGGACAGGAGACCTGCTGCTTTGCCTGATGGTACTCTGCTGAGTACGGGTTCTTTCTGTCCTGAAACGCCGTCTCTCTGTCTTCTCGGTTGGTTTCTGGTCGCGTTGGGGAGAAGGGAGAGTGGGAGTGGGGGAGGGGCAAGCAAATGAACGCGAACACCAACCGACGCGCTCCCCGTTGTATCACTAAACCCGAGAAGTGTTCCAATGAAGTGATGAGATAAGCCACCCCCTCCGTCCCTCCGTCCCTCCCAAAACATCATGTGACCAAATCGGGGCATAGAGAGTCGCACAGACACTCTGGACAGCAGAATTTCCTCTCGTGTCGTTTTTTTGTTCACGGCCGCGATTCTGGCCGTATTCCCAACGCACAGGACACAACGGCTTCCTTAGCTCAGTTGGGAGAGCGTTAGACTGAAGATCTAAAGGTCTCGCGTTCGATCCGCGAAGGAAGCATAGCTCAATCGTGTGGGTTCCTCCTTTTGCTTGCTTGGGGAAGTTTGCGTTCAGGCCAACCCTCAGCCGAGGAGGTCAAGCGCTCGCGATGAATGATAGACCGAGTAATCCCCGGTGAAAGAGGACAGGGCCCTCCCAAGCGCGCATTTGCACCCCAGGGGCGTGATCAACTCGGGTGTGCGGAAGAAGGAAGACTTCACGGAAGTGATATGCAACTGGCGACTCTGCGCTCGATGCGCGTCCGGAGGACGACAAGGTCGGCGCTTCAACCTCGGTCGGCGGGTTGGATGTGGTATAACTTCTTTCTACATCCGTCGATCCCATCTTCGAGAGTTGGTGCGCACCCCATCGTCACCGAACGATGAGGGTACTACGAGGGATTACCTGTCCCGACTTTTCCGTCCACGCCGTTCGGGACAGGATGCGCGAACTACCCGACACCGATGTGTCCGTCGAGGTCGCCGCGCTTCGAGCCAGGACGGAACAGATCGCACGGGTCGATGAGGGAGCGGCGAGGGCCATGACGACGTGTTCGCATTCCGCGTCGTGGAGGTGTGGGGATTTGGGCAAGACGTTCGTCGTCGGACAGTGTTTTTGGCCAGATCGACAACCGGTCATCGGCGAGTGCGACCCGAGACTGCCGAGTCCCTTTGATATCCTTTTCGCAATATCTTTCGCAATAACTTCGGGGTACTACAATGGCTTCGTAGCTCTTGCGCATGGAGACTGTCACACTCTGGACATTCGGCAAGTTCAGTATGCCTTAAGCGGATGGGGATTTGAATAGATCCCGTGCGCCGAGGTCAGCCTCCGCTCTGACAGGGTAAATGCATACCAATAGTCATTTGCCGCCTTGCTCATGGATCACCCTTGCACCACGGTTATTATGCATCTTTGTCGCGCAGGTGCGGCTCGCAATCTGTGTGCATTTTGGCCTGTCCAATCGGGGCGCGATGCCGCAAGATTTTGGAACACCCCGTCCCATTCCCCATTCCCCATTTCCCAATTCCCAATTCTCAAATTCCCTTGGCCGAGTCACCCTCTGGTCAACTGCTACGAGACCTTTGTACAGAAGGAAGTCAAGGATGGACTGGGTTTCCGCCGTCTCCCCCGGTAAGCCCCTCACAGCTGCTCGCCGTGTCGCCGTTCCTGCAACCCGGTCTCATGTCACTCCTGCTCTCTTAGGCCACCGCAAGTTCGCTCTTCTGGCCCTTCTATCGGCTCAAAATAGCTGGTCTATATTGATCCTCAGATGGTCGCGAAGAGTCTCTCCGGCCACCGGAACGGACGTGGCTTCAGACGACGACGGGAAGCGTGCCATCGCCTCCACGGCGGTTCTCCTCACCGAGCTTCTCAAGGGCTGTCTGTGCAGTCTCGTTTACGTGTGGACAACGACAACCACTTCGAGCGACGACTCATTGTCACCAACCATACGATCCTCCTCTAGCGAAGAAGACCTCTCACAACCACCAGCTCGATTGACGGGCACCATGGATGCCCTCCATCGACTTAGAGAGGAAGCCTTCGGTGAAGGCTCGGGATGGACAAGGATGACGGTCCCCGCCACGCTCTACACGCTCCAAAACTGGTTGAACTACTTTGCCCTCTCCCGTCTCGACGCGACGACCCACCAGGTCATCCAACAGCTCCGGATCCTCACCACGGCCGCCTTCGCCGTCGGACTCCTCCGGAAACGACTCTCGTGGATCCAATGGATCTCCCTCGTCGTCCTGACGGGAGGACTGACCCTCACGCAACTGCCCTCGGCAGGCGCCGTTCGCGTCGTCGTCGCGCCTGGACCCGGTGGTGAGACGGAGGTGGACAAGGGCGCCACGGATCATGTCATGGGTGTGGTCGCCGTGGCCGTAGCGTGTCTCACTTCCTCCTTCTCCGGGATATATCTGGAGAGGATCTTGAAGGATTCCTCTTCCTCCTCCGCCTCTCTGATCGTCAGGAACGTGCAGCTGGCGACCATCGGCGCCGTGTTCTGCGCCGTGTTCGGAGTCGTGTTGAACGACGGCAGGGAGATACTGAGGGATGGGTTCTTTTCGGGATACAAGCCTGCCGCGTGCTTGGCTGTCTTCACGAACGCGGCTGGGGGGTTGCTCATCGCTGCCGTCATCAAGTTTGCCGGTACGTTCCTGGCGCGGGCGTTCTCCCACTCCGAAACACAGCCGATCCCTAATTATTTTTGCCTTTTTTAAGACAACATCGTGAAGAACTCGGCCATCGCCATCTCCATCATCGCTTCGGGAGTGATATCCTCCTTTCTCGGTGATTTCACCGTGACGACCGAGTTCGCCCTGGGCGGTGCGTGCGTCGTGGCGTCGGTTTGCGTATACTCTGCGTTCGGTGTCGCTCAGAGCGGTGGGAAGAAACCAGGCGGTGGGTCCCTGTTGCCGGTGGCGACCTCGATAGAGATGGCGGAGGAGTTGGAGAACCTGCCTGCCAAACGGGAGGAGGTAACGGCGTAGCAACGGAGATTAAGTGTCGTATAGGATGCGCATCCCTTTGCACGGTTTTTTTTTTTGGAGATGTATAATTGATACAGCCATAAAGTGGCCTCGACGAGGTGTGGTGTGATTGAAAATGTGTATGATGCTCCAGAATCGCCCACCCCGTCCAGCCCAGCCCAGCCCCCGCGTCCCAAGGAAAATCTAAGAAGCTGCAGAGGGGTGACATGAAACCCAAAAACTCTTGACCTCCGAGTCCACCTGTCCCAGTCGTTCTACAGAATACCACCGTCTCCTCGTTCGGCATCCTCGACATCATCATCATCACCCCATCCACCCTCCTCCCCGTCCCAATCCCCATCCCATCCTTCCTGCTCTCCATCCCCATCCTCCTTCTCCATCCCCAGTCCACCTCCTTCCCGCAACAGGACGGCCTCGCCCGCCGCCTCCTCCTCCTCCGCGTCACCGCCCATCATGGCCTCCGTCTCCCTCATCGTCTTCCTGACGAGCACGGTGAGGTAGACGAAAACGCCGAGGGCCAACGCGGTCCCGAAGACCATGACGGCGATCCGAGCGGGAGTCATCTCGCTCGTCTCGGCCAGGTCCCTGACGGTGGATCCGATGTAGACGTGGAGGAGCGTCTTGACGAGAGCCAGCGACGTGGCCTGCACGTACTTTCTCTGTGGGACGGCCGTGGTGGCGAAGAGGATCGACATGATCCCGAACGGATACGGTGCGAGACGGACCAACGTGACGAGCTGGACCCAAAAAAAGAAAAAAAGTTCCTTTCTCGATGAGATTCTGCTCGTCGTGTTCCCTTTCTCAAAGCAAAGGGGATCTGGTCCACGTCCCCTCCCCCCCGTTGTAGTAGTCTGGGTTGGGAGTTTCCGAACCTTCAAGCCCCCCGTCTCGACCGCCGACTCGATGTGTCTGAACTTTGGAAAGTGGGAGAGCAGCATGGCTCGATAGGAAGGTCCGAGGTAGCGTCTCGAGAGGAGGAACACGGTCACACCGCCCAGCCAACTGCCCACGAAGGCCGGTATCCAACCCCACGGAAACCCGAAGATGAAACCGCACATGTACAGAAGCGTGCCGTAGCCGACCAGCGGCGGAAAGCACGACAGGAACTGGAGGAATGTCATCAGGAGCCATCCTCTGCAGTGACCGGAAACCCATCAGCATCCATTTCAAATGTATCAACGTTGCACACGACCAGAAAAAAAAGAGACTCACCCAACACCCATCCTCCGGACCGTATCCGCGAACTCTGTCAACATCTGCACGATCTGGACCCTGAAGACGACGAAGAATCCCATCCCCACGACGCTCAGACCCGCCAGGATCCACGCTGGAAGCCATTGTCGGGTGAAGAAGAACCTGACGTTGGGGATGCTGGCGAACAGGCCGCTTCTCGACGGTGGCGGCATTTAAATCACCCCCCGCGCGCGCCGGTCGCACGTCTCGTCTGATGGGAGGGGGGGGGGAGGACAGGGGAACCGTTGGTGATTCTCCGAAAGGATGAGCAGGAATGGGAGCGAAACGATTGGAATGCAGGGAACGGGGCCTGAGAGGAACGGGGCTTGCCACTTTGCGCGTTCTTACGTGACGGAGGGCCCTACCGCGCCGATGGAAGCCACCCCCCTCCGGAAAAGCGGGACAACATCCCTCCGGAATAAGCCTCGTTTCCTCTCCATGTTCGTTCTTCGTTACCTGTGGATACTCTCCCGTGGTACCTATGATGGATATCATGCTTTTCCGAGGTGAAAAATGCTCGACCGACATGCAAAAAACAAGGTGGAATCCTTCAAAAAGGATTATGTCATTGCTTCCTTCGCGGATCGAACGCGAGACCTTTAGATCTTCAGTCTAACGCTCTCCCAACTGAGCTAAGGAAGCCTGGATTGTCGACATCCTCGAAAACTTGCTCTATGACCGAATGCCAACAATATGAGAATTTCTTACAACTATGAGATGCACAGCCACATCCCAGGCATCCCATAATTCAGCGCGACGAAGAAGCGGTGAACTGACCGGAGTCGATAACTTTTTTTTGCTATGTACAACGACAATCGAGTGGTGTACTCGGTTGACTATGAGAGGTGATGCTACACGGTACTACCGCCCCGAACGACGTCGCGATCTACGCGTGCGCGGTGGGGGGTCCTCACGGTTCGTACTTTGCCATGGAGTCGCACGTGTAGGAAGGCAGACTCTCGACGTCGTCCCAGAACCACTGTCCCTTGGGATCCCCCATCCCGTTCCCCCTGCTCAACTTCTCCTGGAACTGCTCCCAGGAACCCAGTGCGTAGTGATGCAACGCGATGCGGTCCCGGGTGATGGGGGTCCTGAAGGGCCCGTCGCACTCGTCGCCGTGCTCTCCCACCGTGATGGTCCCGGACGCGAGGTCCACGTGATGGGCGTTGTAGGAGCGTCGATACCGGTCGGTCCTGACGATCGACTTGATGTGTCGGTTGTGTCCCGCGTCGTCGTCCTCGATGCACGTCGTGAACCCCTTCCGGGTGGACGGGGGACGCGTGAGGTGACCAG